CCCGACCAATCCCAGTCGTTGTAAAATTGACTAGGTGCTCGCTCCAACTGTCTGTATCTTTGCCAAATGCAATCCATTAAAATAGCTCGAGTTGCGTCCACAGATCTCCCAGAGCTTGAATGATCGACTAGAATGATCCTGTCGACAGCTTTACCACCAAACTTTGGCCAAAGGTAGTTGTGGTAGTATTCGAGCATGTGGTCCGTATCCTTATCTGGAATTACCCCGTAACCATGAGGATCTGATTGTCTCTCAGATGGCTCAAGGCGATAGTAACTTCGGGATTTGCTGAGAGGGATTGGACCCATCCTCGGATGATCGAAGCAATAGGCCAAGTAACTTACGAGCACACGTCAACAGTATATAGCTAGATCATCGGTATTCACTTACCCTCCACTATTGCCAACAAAGAAGACAATATCGTTCCCACCGACGAGCCGCTGTATATCCACACATGCCTCCCAAATGAGCACTAGCTCCCGGGCACTGTAATATCGCACTGGAGCACTTGGGTCGATTGCTCGAGGAAATATGGCATTGGTATCGCCAGAGGATGGACTAAATACGGACAAAGACCAAGCATTGTTCGCGAAGTAGAGGAGCAAGGTGAAGTAGCTCAAGAAGGGCAAAGATGGAAATATCATTATGAGGAATCTTCGAACAATGCTTGCGGGCGCCTGTGGTAGGGTTCGAGCAACCTCAAGATACTACGATGGCAGCGGTATTTATGATGATCTCGATTTCTTGATACTGTGGCAGATCAGCCTAGTCATTCATTCGAGCCGTATGCGAGCTACGTAGTTGGTGACGTGGAACAGCAAAGGGTCCATGAAATGTTGTCTTGTCCCACAGGATGCGCGCGGCGAGTGAAACTTGTACGCAGCCATCGAAGTGGCAATGTTGGAACACGCGGAGCTCTGCAAACTGATACAATGCATGGATTGTTCTTCCCTTTTGTTTCAATATATTGGATCTGCTAATCAATGACTAGGCTAATCGAAGGAAGGACGCAATGACAATGCTACGTGTAGGGTGGGAACTACGACACATAGCCATTTTCTCCCCGCAAAACTGGAAGAAGATCAGGCCAGAAGATTCGAACTGGTTCCCCAAGACACAAAGAAGTCTGATTGTCCACAGTTTCGACTCCTGCGTGGCGTATCGACATTTCCTTCAAGGTGTCCATGTCAGCATCTGCCGCAATCAATCTGGGACTACCTGGAGGACTGTCGGAATACATCCTTCCCGCAGGGATTGAACTCCACAACGACCTATACAGCTCTTTGGCACAACTGCTCTCCACATCAAGCTGAGACTGTGGCCTCGATACGCGCTGTGCCGCAAGTAGCCCCGTACATCGTTGACGGCCTGCAGAAGATAGCCAGGCTGTAGCAATGAAATCCGGTCCTTCCCGGACAATCAGCCACCTCGCCCATCTTTCCCTGGCGTAGTGTTCTGGCAGTTCAACCAGGGCTGAATGACCCGCGTCATCCAGCTCGAAAGAACGACCTCGGTAGATAACTCTAACACAATACCCCAGGGCAAAATAAAGGCCTTTTTTTCCGTAGTCCGACAAGGTATTTAGATATGCAATTTGTGTATCCAAGACTCTTCTCTCAAGCTCAGAGATGTATTGGTACCTGGGGGTAACAGCACTGAGACCCAAAGGGCGCGGTCTCGGACTGAGTTGCAGCTCCTTCTGCACCATGATGGATGCGAGCTCACTCAGATGCCACATTGCACCCAGACCAGCTATCACATACCCCAACAGGTCCGTGACGAGAACCAGGGAGTCTTCAAGGTCCCTTCCAGTCCATTGTTCCGCCCATGCAAGATCACCTGGTTCCAGGTCCTTTAGTGCGAAGGACGCCATCCACCTGGCAAGATGAATGCGGCGGTCGATCTCAAACAATCCGTTGACTGCAAACATGGAATGATCAACAAGTGTAAAGTGTTCTTTGACCTCTGAAGGGTAACGGCGGGTAAGCAGGGAGGAGCTAATGGATTTGCTGTACGCGTCGATCAGCGCGCGGAAGGAGCGACAGGTGAGGCGTGCTTGCTTCAACGTGGGTATGTCGGATTCCAGTAAGATTGCAATAACAATGACATCTGGTAACTTCAATGAGTTCATATTGAGTATGTGTCTAGATATTGTAGTAAGGAATGCAGTACAATGAGTCCTTGGGTGGGGTTGAGCGTCCTTTAAGCGGCGTCGCTAACAAGCGACGCCGCAAAGCCAAAACCTCCCGGGGGTGGATCGATGGGCCTTTGGCGTGCATACGACCAATGTTTCGAGTTCAAAGGAACAATGATTATTCTGAGTTGTAGCAGTTGCTGGAGGCCTTCCTGCCAATGAATCCACCACGGATAAGCCCTGGACCTAGCAGTATCTTGCGGATGCTTGGGAGCCAGAAGTCTTCCCAAATTTGACGACGTCTCCCAGTCACTTGTCTGCCTTTCTTTCTTGATGAAGTCGTCCAAGGTTGTAAACAACTCATCGATGCTGATGACCATCTCCAATCAATTCTTGTACGTATGCAATTCTACGTTTGCGATGTGGAGCTCCATACACCGTTGGTAAATTCTATTTCTGGGCCTCGATGTAATGATTAAGGACGTCAAGCCGTGGCAGGGTCTAGCTAGTATCCCAATCAGCCACCATAGCCCAAAGAAAGAGAGAAGCTTGGTGAGACAGTCAGTCAAATCGCTTACAAGTAGATCCTAGTGGAGCTTCAAAACTCGATCGCTGTGCTCAGAGATCGCAACGTACCATAAGAGTCCGCATTCTTCGAGCTGTCCTTATATGACGTGCGATAAATGTCGTCCCAGCCGATACATGCTCCAATCATATCTGGGGTATCCTGTATTCAAACTACGCTAAGACCTTTTCTCTTTCTGCTGATAAGCATTCGCGATGTCATTGGGTTTTTCGTTGTCTGTTTCGAAGAGCTTTCTATTCGCTCCTTTTCGTCATGAAAATCCATTTCTCTGTCAACTAGCTTCTGTTCCATGATATTGACAGAATTTGATTCTTGCGTGTTGAAAAATCCTGCCTGAACCTAACAATAATCGATGTGTATGCTTAGGATGCGAACAACAACCTGTGGAGCAACCTACAATGTACTTCCAACATTGTGAAAGGACAAGTTTGTAGATTTTAGCTCACTTTGTCACCACACAGACATTGATTATATAACCTTCTACCCGTTTCTAATTTAAGTTTACAAAAGAATCTCTCCTTTTCATCCTGACGGTGTTTTGACGATATTGAAGATCAATATGGCTAACATACCTGTCACGATTAGCGACTTTGTCGCTGCGCTAGATCAGGTTGAACTTTCGACTATAGACTCTGACACAGGCGATGTGCGCACTGCTGGAATAACTTCGGAGTCGTGGACGAAGATGTGCAATCATCTATTAGGCAAGTCATGTCTCGAGGAATGGCTGTATAGAAGTCGATGGGCTAATTGTCCCATATGCCGCCAGGACCTCAATATGGCGGAAACCGTCCACAAGCGTAGCCGAGTGGTATATAAAGAGCGATATGGGAATCTGACTCGGCGTCAAATCTTCAAGCGCGACTGGGTTGAGCTGCAATGCCTTAATGAGATCGTAATATTCCCTAATTGGCATCGCCGACGTTTCTTCGAGATTTGGCGGAAAGAGCTCGATCACTCTATGCCTACAGCGCGTGGTCAGCTGTTGAAGATCTTCAGAGATATTGCAAGTGCGCTAGATCAAATTTTTCATCGATTGGCGTACAATAAAAGGTCCATAGAGGGCATGAACAGTCCTCATGATTTGAGTGCGAAGCTAATCGAAGTCGTCGTGCAATCCATGACCCAAAAAGTATCATCCCCGGTGGAGTCCTTCATATCCACTCGGATCACATAATTTGTGCGAACCATAGCTCTAGAGCAGCATTTTCAGACAGTCGCGGAACTTATTCAGCTTGAGAATCAGCTGTGCGGGAGCTCCACATCCCTAAAGTCAAGCCTTCAGAATCTTCCAGACTGGTACACAAATGGCTTCGACTGTTTGTTTGACAAGAGCTATGCATTGTCGCCACCACTGTTCAAGGATTTGAAAGATCTACAATACTACACTGACCTGGTGTATACTCTTGTTGCACAGCTGGAGACAACAAAGAACGCACAGACGGCCCGCAAAGGTGAAGAAGCTGACCAGGCCATCATCCAACCGCTGAAGCAGGCGATCATGGGGGCTCGTCGGAAGCTTATCACGCAGGTGCGTCTCAAATGTACCAAGCTCATAGTGTTCATGGACCCAGAGAATCCAACGTATGGAGAAAAGGAGCACTTCGACTTTGCCCCGGCAGAAGGACCAGCCATCATGCTGTATCCATCTCCTGACCCTTTTCCAAACCTGCCAACGGATGAGATGATACACATGCATTGGTTGACAACTTACTATTAGTTGGTAGCATTGCATACAAACGCGAAATAGTCTCTAATCGATTAGGTGGGCTTGTGGGTGCACGCCAACGCATTCAAACCTGTTAATGCATGTTATTACCCTCATTATGTATTCTGTGAAATTTTGGTTACCCAAAAGACATCTACTACAAATTATTGGAACGTATCTTTTGGAATTGGAGTTGGTAGTGGCACGAAGGAATTCAGACAGAAAGGTTTTTACTACGCGAAGGAGAATTATGAGCGATAGGTCCTTCTTAAGTGTGTTCGTTCTGTTTAGGAGTATATTGCATCGGTTTCCAGTGCATTGACGGGGTAGTGACATTGAGAGGCGAGACAGAGCAGGTAGGAGGGCATTTGATGGCAGATATAGCCGAGTGCGGCCCAACTTGATTCCAAATATAGAAACCCCCACTTTAGAGCCTTGTGGGCGCAGGCTTCTCAACAAAGTAGTCCGAGATGAAAATCAGATGTTTCCTGCTCATATAGGACTTGTTCGTTACAAGATAATTCAATACATGTATATAGGTATCATCACTATAGAAATTTCAGAAATGAGTCAGTCCTATGGTCTAGTGGTATGACGTTCGCCTCACAAAAAATTCCTTTGTGTGCGCGACAGGTCCCGAGTTCGATCCTCGGTGGGACTAGGAAGTTGAAGTTGATGCTTACTTGCATCCCTTTTTTGGATATTAGATAGGCTTATTCCTGGGTCACTGACGGCTTATACGCGTCCCAAACTTTTTGGTCCTTTAGTCTGGTTGTTCACATATGACGATTAATACGTATACACTATCACAAATAGTTTAAGTTGATTTCACTTTAGATTGTGATGCCGTACTTCAGTGTTGCGTCTTGGGCTTGAGTCGCTCATCACGTGCTTCGTTAATTTTGAATCGACCTTGGAAGGCTTGGAGACCTCGGCAGATGTCGGACCGACGCTCACACCACGATCACCTCTCGCTCACCCTAACCTCACACGTCCGTTCCATCTTGCCGAACACCCCCAAAACTTTAGAGTAGCCGCGGCTGCACCCGCCCTTAGCCTATTCGTTTCCTTCGTACATAACCGCGATATATGCGCGGCCGAGAAGCAGCTCGAGGCACGTCACTGCGACTTCTATGAATCCTAAATGAGACGTAGTACGAACTTATATGGGCTTGGGCGTCGCTTGGGTTGAGGGTCAGACGCGATAATGTATCGGATCGAGGAGTCAGCTGTGGGGAAGGTAGGCTTTCTTGTGGACACGGGATGGTGCAAGGTGATGTGATAGGTGGAGAGATTGTCTTGTCGCGGAGATGAGGCAGTGGGGTGACGGGTGGGCTCGTGATACGTGCTGGTAGCTACGGTAGGTGTATATTTCGCTGCATGCCCACCCGAGCTATGAGACGCTTCTGGCTTCCCTGCTGTTACACAAATCAATCAACAACTTACCTGCCATACAATATAGTCGCGTCTAACAGACCAACCATCGACGTCGCGTAAAGACATTCGTACCATACTAAGAGACAACAACTCGAAAACAAATACCACGCCGCTCCTCGGCCGAAGTACCACATCTTGAAGACCTTCCAAGACACAATAAGAACATCAACAATATTCGATATGCCTTTCCGAGTGCCGATCGCGCTGCGCCGGCAGGCATTCTCAACGTCAAGTCGCTTCCGCAGGTCTACTCTACCGTCCCATTTCTACACCACATCAGCACAACCCCTTCCTCTCACCCCAACAGCGCCTAAGCTTGGTCAGATAGGACGATGGTAAGGCTTCTACCTCCTACTGGAGATTGGCACAAGGCTAACTCCACAAGGTATCTTCCAACCATGGCCCTGATAGCTGCTAGTATGACGTTCATTCCGCGCATTCTCTCCTCCAAGGCCAAGGCCCTGGGCGAGACTAATCATCAGATAGGCTTTGCTATTGCGAATGCCATCGAAGAACACTACAGGAGCAAAGATCATGAGATGGAGCAGGCTGCGCGACATCAGCGATTGATAGAGGCATACGGTGACAGGACGACCATGGAAGATATGCATCGGGCGATGGAAGTATATGAGGTGCGGTGAAAAGAGAAGATTGAGTAATCTGTACTGTTTGTCCGAATCACGAAACACCAAGGAAACGCCGCATTTGAAGGGTCAATTGGCAAAATTCGGAGATAAGGTACGCCAGGTATCAGGCATTTGGATGAAGCAATGTCGGCGGACAAGCACGTTTATGATAGCGGCAAAATCAGTGAAGCTTTGTTCCGAGCAGCGTAGGTGCTGGAGACATACCGCGAATGTGCAAGCAGACACATGATCTATTATCTGGGGAAGGGGCACTTTTTTCCACCACCTGAAACTTCTAGCTCTGTTCAAGATACAGTTGATAATTAGTATGAAAGCAGGCTTTTGCTCATGACCAAGTGTTGGATGAACCATCCGTGCCCAATATTGTCATAGAACTGAGGGATCCCATGGCCGACACCGTTAATTCAATTCTTGACGCCATCACTCGAACGCCTTTCTCTCTACGCATGTCTTAGACATGGGATGCCGTATTTGAAGACTGCTTTCAGGCCACGTCATCGCTCTTCCCAGGCTCGCTCTCCTTCACGCTCTGCACGTCAGAGTCGATGTAGTCTGTAACTATAGAGTAGTCTGGTATTGAAAATTCGATCTTGTTGGCGTTCCGAGCCGCCTCTTCTGCGAATGCCATCATAGATGGTATCTCAAGCGTTGCAAAAACGACCTCGAGTGTTATGACTTCCTTCAGTCCCAGTGTTTGTCAGATAGCTGGGCCAATGGCTCGAAGCTGGTTGACAGTGAGGTCACTGACCTTCGTCGGCTCTTGTGACTTAACCTACGATAACTACTATGACTGGTAAGTACGTACGTTGACGCAATGATGGCCATTATTGACCGCTTCTACTAACTTGCCTCTGATATGATAGCGTATAGACCGTATATAGTCTCTTTGAAAGTGGGGGTTTGCTTTTATGAGTGTTGGTGGGAATAAGGAGCGTAGGAAAGTGTAGGAGGACCGACTACTATACAGTGTTCATATAACCTTCGTGCTTGGTGGGTGATGTGAATTTATATTAATACCTTTATCTAAGTGAAGGAGGGATGTAATAATCCGCAAAGATGGATCTATTATTGTGAGATATTAAGTAAAACGTTGTTCCTTGACATTCATGTCTCGAACTCCAGTCGCAATTGCATTTACAAACTGTTAGAATCTACACTCAGGTGCGCCATGTTATACCTCTAGACTTGTTAAAGTCGAGTCTTGATGTGTTACCTTGTACCGGGTCATTAGAGACTGGCAAAGTCACTCCGATAATCGAACTCGGGACCTGTCGCGCACTACAACGAGTTCATAAAGCGAACAGATTTAATTTCTTACACAGGGCTACTACGAGAAGCAATCTCAAAATCAGAAAGGCCGAATCAGAAAAATGGTATTTTACGAGTCGAAATATACAAACTCCGGCTTTAGTGTCCTTACTTTTATCCATCCTGAGATATTGCTAAGCAGTATCCGTTCCCGGTAAAAGTTACGCATTACACATCCTGTTGTATCAAATGTCGCTTATACTTGCCTATCGTACTATTAAACATGTCAATGTTATTAGAGAATGTTCACTCGAATATACCAACCACGTCAGATAATACTTTCGCTAAATTTAAAGTTTATACCGAGTTTCTCTCACCTTATATGTCTGCTTCTCATTCCGTATCCTCTGGATCACACTGTCAGCGAATACAGTGAGCATCTCTCGACTCGACCCAAATCCCTCTAACACAGACGACTGGTCAGAAACCCGATCAAATTTCCACCATGCCCAGATTCGTCATGACCGCGCCTCCCTCGGCATCTGCTCCAAAGCTCCTTACGCCACCCCCATCCCCACAGCTCCTACCAGTTGGGAGCGTCGACATGGCTTCAAACGAGTATTATATCGCCCTCTCCGCGCCTCTTCATCAGCGCATCGGCTTTGTGGACAAGTGAGTTTTCGTCAAATCGCGTTTTCGAGACAGTTGTCTGAGACTTGTGACTAGATCCAACGCCTGGTACTACCTCGACCCAACCGACCAGCATTATCGCAAGCAGTTGTCGCTATATAGGCGTCAGATGGAGTCTGAATATGCGCAGATATGGTTCCGGCAGCGTCTGTGCGCTCTGGCTATCGTAATTGCGGTCTGCATCATCATGGTCCTTATGTGTTTCTTGATTACGATTTTGTAGCCTGAAGGTGAGTTTTCGACTTTGGAATTAGCAGTATGGTGACTAATCTTAGAGGGCAACAGATTTGATCAATCGTGTGTACGGAACTGGCTCGTCGATGGCTATCAGGTAAAGCTGGACTGCTAGAAAATCGTTCTAGCCAACGTAATGAGCGAAGGTGTCACCGTCACTCAGCTTAGTAGGAAATAAGAATGAGATCATACTATGAATCCAAATATCCGTCAGATCTGATCGCAACTAGATATGGCTTCATCCCAAGAACCAGTCTGGAGAATCAGTCTCCATAAATCTCGTGCCAACCGACCTCACCAGTCCGTCGAGTCTTAGTGAGAGCGAGCCCCTGTTGCACTCAAGCCCAGAGGCATCTCAGTGAGAGGGTTCCCATTCATATTCGACCTTGACGCGCGTACCATCACACCCACTCTCAGCCGTGCCCACTTCCGCATGTTAGCGCGCTCACACACAAGTCTGTACACTCTCAAAGAAGCCTGACTTACAAGACCACGTGTCTGGAATACCCTTGCCACATGCAGCATTGATGACGTTGAAGAGGCGGAAGCAATAGCCAGAGTCCCACTTGTCGCCGGTACCGCATTGCTCGCCAAGGCGAATCGATGCCTTGAGGTCACCGAAGGTGTAGTAGCTGTCCCTAGTGCTTGGGACATGATTGCCTGGCTCGCAGTCCAGGATGTGAGTGGCATTGCAGAGGCTCGTGATAAGATGGATAGTCTCGTTCGTGGAGGCGACTCGGCCGTTGCAAGTAGTGTTCCTGAGCACTTGTAAGTTTTTGCATGTACTCTTGAGTAAGTAGTGATGAAGTACCACGATGCGTCCCAGTTACATGGGGAAGGGTCGCGAACGGTAACAGTGCCATCGGCAACTGGGGCTGCAGAAACTGGCGCAGTTGTTGCGAGGGCCGCAAATGCACCGACTATGGTGAGGAAATGCATGTTGCCCAAGATATCCACAAATTCTGCGGTTTTAGAGAGTGTAGCGAAGAGGTTGGGAAGAATGAAGAATAAAAGGCCAAGAGCAATCTAAATCCTGGTTCGACCACCCAACGTCATTGAGCGGTGAGTTAAGATAGGAAGTTACAAACGACGCATTTGCTCGGTGAGGGCTAAGAGCGCGGAAATAGTCTCTGCAACCATGGTGAAGATTGGAAACGCCTATGCGACTAGCCAAACGATTGGATACGAAGCTTAACTCCATTTTACCTACTAATACCAAAGGCACCGAAACCTAGCGGAACCTCTCTTGAACCGTCATATTACGAAATCTTAATGCGAACGTCCCCTTTTGAGTTTGTCTTGTTGCTTTGCAATTCGATGAAATGTCCATTGGTGTGTCGCCAATGGTTTGGAAAAGAGCGAAAGCGAATCGATTATACACCGCTCCGAGGCAAGTTACTGTTAT